CTATATTTAGATTAATTAAATATTAAAATATCGATATTTTAGCTTCATTTGAAATATTATTCAATATAAATTTTTAATTTTCATGGGATATTTAATATATTTCAACATAAAAATTGAGTAATCCTCTGTAATATCTATGTTTTTTAAAGTTAAAAATTATATATAAAATTTTGATTTATCAAACTTGATATTTTCCATATTGAATCCCTTCTTCAATTGTAAAATTGAATTTGTTGTAGGTCTCTTAGAAGATTTTTCAGTATCTTGGCATACATTTAATTTTTCTAAATTAATTTTTTCATTTTAATTAAAAATAGCTATAAAAAATGTAATATATAATACCCCAAACCTGTATCTTTTTTATATTAAAGAGTATCTCAACTTCCATCTCTTCCTCCCGCTCTCTTTCGATATTGTTGCAGTTTGTTTGCACTCGTATTTCATTTTAGCGGCCACTAAAGACGAGGGGTAAACCGTGTGAGGGGTGCTAGTGTTGGACAGTGGGACAGAGGGACAGTGGGACAGTGGGCATGAGGAGGGTCGGAAAGAGGGGTAAGACCCAACGCCAACACACTCCAAAGCCGCTGCCAAGTAGACCTTCAGACGCCAAACACTCCAACGCCGTCGCAGCCAACGCAAGACAAGAGCGCATATTCATTCGGCATTCGGCATTATTCAGCCAGAGTCAGAGTCAGAGTCAGTGAGACACCTGGACAGGTGGTGAGGAGGGGTACAGTGCTGCAGGGGCGTAGGCAAGGGGGAGCTCTTTACAGGCACAGACAGTCCAAGACTGCCAAGAGACAGCTCGAGTCTTATTTTTTTCGCAATTGCGCACTTCTGAAAGCGGTTCGAGGCGCAAATTTTTGATCCGTTTGCACCGCACACGGAGGTCGTTCCTCAGCCCAGCATCTTGCATCTCCATGTATAATATATGTATATATGTATATAGAAATATTGCCACCTTTGCCAGCAGCTCATTTGCTTATTTCATTCACCTGTGCAGCATTTGTGAAGCTTTGTGGGCCCTCGAGTCTGCGCGCAGTCTGGCGGGATTGACACCTGACATGGCAGCGGCGGCGGTGGATCGAAAAGCGAATGCGGATCTGACATCCGCAGCGGCTGTAGATCTTACATCCGAGATGTAAGCTTAAAAAATAACTATAATGACGGTTACCTAGGAGAGGTGATATATTATAGTTATATTTTCTAGGGGGTATTATTTAAAGCTCTCTTATTCAATTCGTATTTATACAATGTACAAAGAGTACATGCCATTTGATAATATTTTAAATTTATTTCAAAAGCTAATATTCGTTTCCCTGAATATTATATATGCTTTCGTTGAAAATTTGTTTGTTTGTTTATAAAACACTTAAGATGCTTAACACCTGGTGCAAAAATCAATTTTATAATGTACTAAGAGTACATGCAAATGGTGGAAGTGTTGATTGATAATATTATTAATTTATTTCAAAAGCTTACATTCCTTTCCCTAAATAATATTTAGTATGCTTTGGTTCAGAATTTCTGGGATGATGCCAAATAAAATATGTTTCGAAACAAATTAAACACTTATGTTGCTAAACACCTAATGCAAAAATGAATTACATAAGAAACTTTTTAGCATGGCTTACAAATTCTACATAAATTCGACCTTATATCATTTAATTTACATTTTATAATATAAATGAAACACTTAAGAAGCTAATAAACTCACTGAAAAGTGAGTAAAATAAGTAAATACCTACTCCTCATTGTTTATATAGTAAATAAATATGATTTTACATAATAACAATATAGATTCTTGGTTTCACTTATAGAAAACATTGTTTTAAAATGGGAAAACTGGTTTAAAACCTGTATAAAAACTAAACTCAAATCTTTGATAATATTAATATCATCATTTACACTTTCATTTCAAATACATTTTAATATTATTCCCATAGCTTCATATCTTCTGAGACACTTTTCTGTATTAACAATTCCCCCTTGATAATAATTGTCACAGCTTGCAGCTATATGTCTTTTGTGTTTATTTACTTGCTAAAGTGTGAATAAAATATAGTTTTCTACACAACCGATCTGGGTTTGCAAATACAAATAAATAGTAGCACAGTACCTTATCTTCAGGGCAGGGCCTCTCTTAGTTTTTCTGTAATTTATTCATTCATTCAATATGCACATGCACCTATGACCGTATCTATATAATTATATATAAAGCCCGATTTGGTTCGCTTGTGGCAAAACCACTGGCCAAAGTGTAGCAGGCGTTGAGTTATTGGTGAACCAGTGATGATTCATATTCGTTCTACACTATATATATATACATATATTCACTCGTCGAATCGATTGGTAGATTTATGGCCATGTTGATAGGCAAATTTCCGTTTGCTTTGATCGAAAAATACAAGTCTTTGCAGAACTCGCTGCACGAATGAAGATATTATAGCGTGTGAATGCGAAGATACTTAATCTAGTGACAGATAATTAGCGGAGGGATAAGCAGTCACTAGTCACTTGTCATTTGCATATACAACACAGAGACCTTAAAACTTACTAATGCCATGCAATGATTATGGCACAAGTGACCTCTAAAATTTATAATCCCCATTATTAAATAGGCTGGAGACGATGGCACGAACCAAGGGATTGTAAGTTTGTTAAGAAATAAATTATATAAGCTCTCTAACAATGCAAAATGTGCATATTAACATAGACATACAAAAATGCTTTTTTAATGGTTGTTACACAGTCAGATTAAGTGTTAAAAATGTGTACACAGAGATAAATAATATAGCGAGATATAATTTATACTTCAATCGCAATATTTAAAAACAATATCTTTATGTCAGTTTTATACCTTTGCAGGATAATATAATTTTAGTTAGAAGCTTAAAACTTTGTGAAGGAATCGTTTCCGACCCTATAAATCATATATATTATTGATCAGCATGAGAAGCCGAATCGATCTAGCCATGTCTGGTATAAAATTTTATTTTTCGATTTTTTTCAACATTTTTCAGGTTAACATTTACATCTTTAAAAATGCGAAAATTTTACAAAAATTTAAATTTGTTAGATTTTAAAATTTGATACGCAGATTTGTTAATTATATAAAAACTAGCACAGAACAGTTATCCGAATTAAAATTAATGCATTTTTGGCTTAGTTATGATATTTGAAAATCTGTAATTTACCATATAAATTAGCATGTATATATATGCATATATATGTTTATATATAGTCCACCGGTTCGCCATGCTCCGATTTATATACTAGTAAAATTATATAGAAAAATAATTTCATAGTTTTATTCTTGCTCTTAAATTTGCTTCAAAACAAATGTCGCACATGTGTGCATATGATTCCCAACTGGCTCTAACATCCCCGGAACGAAGTTACTTCTGCCGGCCAGACGACAGAAAAGTGTTGTTACAAAAGTTGCAAGTCATTGTTTATTAGTGTTCAAAGTTAGTAACTAATCATACATACTTACTTGTCATAGATACTTATTGATCGTAGTTCCTTACTGGTCATAGATACTTAGTGTTCAGAGTTACTTACTGCTCATAGCTAATTACTGGTCATAGATATTTACTGACTATGGTTACTTAATGCTCATAGATACTTAGTGTTCAGAGTTAATTACTGGTTAGAAATAGTTAAAAAAGAACAAAAACCAAGGGTCAATTTTACGGATTTATTACATAATTTTTACTAACTTAAATTCTCATTATTCCAAAATAAACAATGAGACCTATCCTAGGCTTCTCAAAAAACCAAATTTTGTTTGCCTCTCTTTTACTCTCTCTCAAAAATAATACTTTCCTCGCATTCACTATCTCTAAAAAAAGTGCCCTCCTCTGCGCTTCTCAACCGGTGTACTTAAGCACCGTAGCAAACACAATTATTTTTGTTCTTCTTCTTGAAACTATAACATAAATAGTTAATTACTGATCAAACTTACTTACTGTTCAGACTTAATGTTTAGAGTTACTTACTGATCATAGTTAATTACTGGTCATAGATATTTACTGACTATAGTTACTTAATGCTCATAGATACTTAGTGTTCAGAGTTAATTACTGGTTATAGATAGTTAAAAAATTTTACGGATTTATCACATATTTTTTACTAAGTCAAATTCTCATGATTCCAAAATAAACAATGAGACCTTCCCTACGCTTCTCAAAAAAACAAATTTTGTTTGCCTCTCTTTTACTCTCTCTCAAAAATAATACTTTCCTCGCATTCACTATCTCTCAAAAAAGTGCCCTCCTCTGCGCTTCTCAACCAGTGTACTTAAGCACCGTAGCAAACACAATTATTTTTGTTCTTCTTCTTGAAACTATGTTTCTAATAAAATTTGAGTTTAATTCCAACCCTGGGCTATTAGAAAAGCTGTGTTAAATCCCTTGTTTCTTGTACTCCACCAAGCCTGCAGAGAGAGTGTAAGTAACAAATCATTTAACTTCTGTTAAGTGTGGGAATGTTTAAAGGGAAGTTTGCTTTAGACAAATCAAGAAATTAAAAATGAATTGTATACAGCTTTATGATATAGAAGTCCGACTTTCATACAATTTTACACAAAATTCTGGATTAATTATATATCAAAATTCTAGATTAATTATATATCAAAATTCTAGATTAATTATATATCAAACTTGATGAAAATCTGTTAAAAACTGGAAAAGTTTTCAAAGTTAGTAACTGATCATAAATACTTACTGGTCATTGATACTTACTGCTCATAGATACTTCCTGGTCTAAGTTACTTACTGTTCATTGATACTTATTGATCAGACTTTTTTACTGATCAGAGTTACTTACTGGTCATAGCTACTTACTGGTCATAGTTTCTTGATGTTTATTTATACTTGCTGATCATAGTTAATAACTGATCATAGTTAATTACTGTTCAGAGTTACTTACTGTTCATAGTTAAATACTGATCATAATTAATTATTGATATCCCTCCCCTCATAATAAAATTGCAATTATTAATGGTATAATAACTTTTATTGTATTTCAGCGTATGCATTTGTTGCGTACAAATCGAATGTCTGGATATTTGGTAAGTAATAGGTTTTGCAATATATGCATATACGTATATTTATGTTATTTATTTGGTATCGCTACTAAGTCTGCTATCAGTCTACGAATGCGTGTGTGATAATTGATAATTGACTGATGATAATTGTTAATTGTTAATCAAAATTCTTGTTAATTGTGGGTCATCTGTGTTTAAATCAAATGAAATCAACAGATGATCACTGATGGTGATTAGAACTAAAACTAGAACTAAACCTAGGCCAGCTTCTTCATCGCGGCACAACCTGCTTTTAACTCTATATATCCTCGTCCCGAATTCATAACACATAATATTTAACGTAGAAATAAGCAACAACACAAATCAGTGATCCCATCACAATCGAGCTTACAAAATAATACCCATAGATTATGCACAAGTATACATAGTTTCCAGGACACAAGATCACATTGATCACCGATCGCTCTTTCGATTCGATTCGTTTCGATTCTTTTTGGGGGGTAAAAAGTGTGTGAGAGAGTGTGTGTGCTATATATGATGTGTTCTTCCTACTTGGTGAATATATATTATATATACTCGGTATATATGCAGAGCTCTGCCTTAAGTGTTGAGGCTAATTGATTAATTGCTATCCGGCACTGGTCCAAAAAAAAGGTTTAAATTCAATATATATACGGGTGGGTTCGTCAGAGACAGTCTCACGATATTATCCAAGGTTAATGTTATTATTTCATATTATTTCCATATCCTTGGTTATTGTTTTTGGTTGTAATTCGATCAATCTCTCTGGTGACTTAGAAAACCATTCTTTTTTTTTTGAGGGGGAACACGATGGTCTATTGGTGGTTGGATAATACATCTATGTTATAGCTTGCTGGTGGATCTGTTTCTGGATCTGACGAACTATTGGGTGGGATATATACTCTTTAATGGTTTAGACCCTGCGATTGCTGTGCTCCTGCTGCAGGTTCAAGTTAACATTATTCATCACTGCACTCATATCCACCACCACCGAGTCTGTCATGGTCATGGCGCACTTGCTGCTTGTCTCCAGCTCGGTTTGCCCCTCCAAAAGGCCACCACCGCCATCGTGGCTGTGGCCATTTGGAGTGCCAGCGGGCATATCCTGTGAATAAATATAATGCTATAAGAAGACTTGAAGGATATATATTAAACCCACCTGATAGTTTACAGAGGCAGCATCCAAAGCCATTAGTTCCTTCCTCGACAATTCCTCCACAATGGCGGCGGTATAGCAATCGCCCAGCATATTGTTTGTAGTGCGAATCCGATCCCTATAATGGAATATAAACCTTCTTATATAAAAAATTCTTTAAGGATTATAGAAACCCCATATTTCATACTCACACAAACCAGTCCACGGCAAAGAGCAGCGTCACATCCTGAACAGGTGCATCGATGGCGGTGAGGACCACAAGGAGTAGAACCAGGGCAGCACTCGGCACACTCGCCGAACTCATGGAGGCCGCCGTGGAGGTCAGGAGCACGGTGAGCAGTTCCCCAAATCCCAACACCATGCCACTCATCTGGGCAATGAAGATCGAGGCCACGGCTATGTACAATGCAGTACCATCCATGTTGATGTTGCATCCAATGGGCAGGACGAATCGCGTGATGCGAGGATCCACTCTTAGCTTCTCGTTCATGCAGCGGAAGGTTATGGGGAGAGCAGCGGCGCTGTGGTATTTCCGGTTTTCAATTCATTGGAGAGTTGTAGAGTTGGAGAGTGTTGGAGTAGTGTGTGGTGGTTTTTTTTTTGTGGGGGTTGTGGAAGTTGTGTGAATTAGTGGGCGTCAGGATGCACGTGGCACACACCGAAAGAAAGAGAAAACACTCATTTAAGGTACTCCTACACCAACTTGAGACCCCTGATCTTAACTAGAAAGTTATACTAGCTAAATATAGGTTTGTAAATCTGAACTTTTTGAGCAAGAATTTAATTAAAAACCACTTCTATATCATATCATACAATACATCTATAAACTTAATAAGAATCATTTTTAGGTTAGTAACTCTGGACTTTTAGAGCATGGAACTAATCAAAAACTATTTAAAGGATAGTTTGTGTTGAGTTCTAGTTGAAAAATCAAACTAAAAACTGTTTAGAAGTTACTTTGATTTAGTTAGGAAGGTTAGAAATAAATTAAGTTAAGTTATTTAGTTTTATACATTTTCCGTTTCAATGAACTCGAAAGTTACATATTAAGTTTTATATATTTAAGACACTTTTAATAAAGAATTTACTTATTTAATTTGTAAATATCACAGGAATTTATAAATATTTTATATTTTTTAAAGAAAACTAAGAATATGTTTCTGAATTCGTACCACAAGTCTGTTTTTAATATTATGTCTTGATAATCTCCATTAAGTTAATTCATAAACAAATTATTCTACAAACCCAATATACCTAATTTAATATTAAAATTAATTCCGTATTTAAAAAAACTTCCTGACGCTTATTTAATATTTTTCTATAAGCAAATGCATAAAAAAATAGTTATCAATGACCCTACAACGAATTCACGTTCTTTATAATTAAAATCCCTAATAGAAAAAATTCTCTAAATTATTTTCTTGAATCACAGACTGATTTTACATTTAAATGTTATTCTTTGTCCTGAATGAAAAATTTTAAAATCCTAATGAAAATAACAAAGCCTCCTTTGCAGCATTTAAAACCAATTTATAATTGTTTTAGACAAATTTTCAGCACTTTTCCTTATGAAAATGCTACAAAGACAAATTTTCACTTTTCCTTATGAAAATGCTATAGTTTTTCCCATTTTCAAGCTGAGATATAGACCCAAAACTCACGTTGAGGCCGTGGCAAAGGCGGTGAGCATGGCCTGGATGAGTCCGGCGTAGAACTTGAACGGATTGCGACGCACGACGACAAAGTAGATGGCCTGCATCACGACAAACTGGTAGAGGAACACCCCGATGGCCACCGTGATGATGAACCACATCAGTTGCGCCATCACCAGTCCCAGGTCATCCACGCTGAGAATCTTGCCAGCGATCACGGAGCTAATGCCCACCGGAGTGAGCCACATCACACAGGTGACCATCTTCATGATCACCTCGAAAATAGCGGCAAAGAAGTCCACCACAACCTGACCCTTCTGACCGATGGTGCCCAGGAAGGTGCCAAAGACGAGGCAGAAGAAGACGATGCCCAGGGTGTTGGTGCCACTGCGATACTGGACATCGCGCACCAGGACCACATCCTCGCCCAGCTCCTCCGCCTGACGCTGGGCCTCTACGCCGCCGCCTCCAGAGTTTAGGGTGTCGTTCATGGTCTCGTTGAAGGCGTGCAAAATGCTCGGTTTCGGTAGATAAACGGTATGTGCTTGCTGAATGGAGGCCTGAAACAGGTTGTCCGGAAATACGTTTCTAGGAGGGGAGAATAAGAATTTAAAATTTTATATAATTTATCAACTTTTTCAAATAATTTGAAATTAATTTAAATTCTTAAACTGTTTTCAAGCAGTGCATGTCAGTGCATTGAATCACAAGTAGAGGGCGCATCTGAGAACTGATACTGCTTGATTCCAGCGATTTCTAAGCGGCTTAAGCGCGATTTCAGACTAAATTTGTACTTTAATGTTTTTCCAGACAGTATTTAATTGTATTATTTTTAGCAAGAAGATACAATTATTTCTTTAACGTTTTTGATTTTTAATTTTAATTTCTGAAATTTTAAATTTATAAAAACCGAAAAATGTAAACTAAATAAGTAAGTGCGACTTGGAAGCGATTTGACAGCGTTTTGTGTGCGATTTTGAATTTGCACTGCTTTACTGCTTGAGGTAGCTTCAAGCTCAGTGAACTGCTTGATTCAACAGGTTTTCTAGCGATTTACAAGCGTTTTGCCTGCGACTTACAGGCTTCGAATTTCCTTTTCACGAATTTTAATCTCTTTTTATACGAATTTTTAGTATTCAAGATATCATATTTCACGATTAATATTTTTCTCACATTTTGACATAAAAGTTAACATTCTTAAGAAGTAAAACTCTTTACAAAAGGGTGTAACTCACCTGCCCAAATCCAAAAGACTATCCAATAGATTCACAGCCCGTCTGTCTGTCGATCGATCGTCGGCATTGTGCAAATCTGGATTTCCAGGATGGATCAGTAGAACCAAAGCAATTCCCAAAGCGGCATTGAAAAACGAAGTGCTGGCAAAGTAAACCAAAGTCCGCAGCGCTATTTTGCCATTCATTTTGGCATTCAAACTCGCTGAACCTGCAATCAGACTGGATATGACCAGCGGCAGGATCATAAGCTTCAGGACTCGCATGAACAGCTCGCCAGGATAAGAGATCAGCATAATAGAGTCGCCGTGCAAGTTCAGGGGACGCAACGAAAGGCCTGCGATTAAAGGAAGGAGAGAAGATATTTCAACGGGGTGAGTTTTCAGTTTAAATATATAAAAAGAAAGGTAATTTGAAAAATTTATGTTAATATTCCCTGCAGTTTGAAATTATTATATTATATTATAGGATCGTATTATAATTTGATTATAACAAGGTTTAAAATATTCGCATTTTTTTAAAGTTTAAAAAACTCATAACTTGGACAAAAAAGCATTAATTTTCATTCGGAAAGCGTTCCTGTGTTAGTTTTTTATAGTTAAACAAATCTGCATACTCAATTTAAAATAAAAAAAAACCTTTTCGGTCATTTTTTTCCTAAAAATTTTTAGTGAACATTTTTTAAAAAAATTCAAAAATTTTTTTCTTTCGGTGCTGATCAAGAATATATGTGATTTATAGCGTCGGAACTGATTCCTTTGCGCAGCATTACATGATTTTGTCTAAAATACCTCGCAAAAGGGTATCAAAATAAACTATAAAATAGAGAATCTACGATGGTTATTAATAATTTTGGATTTTTAACTCTTTAAAAGCTTTTTTCTTTAACTATTCTCCCAATGAGAGAAAATAAACTCTTACATTTTTTATAATTTGGTTTAGAAACTAAAGATTCTTGGATCTCTTGGGTTATAAATATTGAACAATTACAAAAACTTTCAATGTTAGATGTAAAAACTGTTAATTAAATGGAATTATGTCATTTATTAATGTTGAAACTAATAACAATTTGGTCAAAAGACATATTGGGACGTTTAATTTCATAATCTCACAATTTAATATTTCATATGTATTAAAGATTAAAATAAGCAATATAAAGTCCAAAACCCTTATCTTAAAAAATTCTTTCTATGCGTAGTATAATAGAATATCAAAAATCTACTCTACTTCTAAATGAAAGCAATGCGAAACACACGAAAAACCAAAACAAAATAACAATAATCGCTTAATATACTATTTTTCCCATCTTCCCCACTGATATATCATATCAATATATCTCCCTAGGTATATAAGGAACCCTATATTATAACCCGCGTATTACATCCCCCAATACTCACCCAATATGACACCGAGCAATACTCCGGAAAGTGTTACCAGGAGCATTAGATTATCGCTTAGCCATCGGCGGTAACCGGTGAGCTCGACGGGGGCATCGCTGCGCTCGGTGGTCTTGGGGGGCAGCTCGGTGGCGGTGGGGGGACCCATTTTGGCGAAGAGGTAATCTGAAAATTTCCCAGACTTTTCCATTGTCCGTCGTCCGGCCACCCGACAGTGGGGTGACGAGGCGAGAAAAGCAGCAAAAAAGCAGCAACGGCGGCGGCGGCGACGACAAATTCAGTTCAAGAGACAGATAGACAGAGAGAGATAGAGATGGGAGCAAGCGAGACAAGACGAGCCAGGTGAGTGAAAGAGATGGCGAGAGAGAGAGAGCGAGAGAGAGCAAGTGTGGCGTGTGCTTCCCCTTTTCTACTTTTTGGTTTCCTGCCTTTTTTTGTTGTTTTTTTGGTTTTTTGTTGAATGAAAACTGAATCCTGGTGAATCAAGTCCTGCTCCTTGTGCGCCTCCAGGGATCGGTGGCGTGTCCAGTTATTGATTTTTTAAGTATTTCACATTGAACTTGAGGATGTTGATTAGGTAGGCCATCGGAAAGCCGCTGCTCCTTGGCTGCTCCTCCTCCTTGGCCTCCTCCTACCGGTGCGGTGTGGTTTTCCTTTTGTTCGGCGGCTCCTGCGGCTCCTGCGGCTGTCGTCGTCGTCCTTGGCGGCGTTGGTGGGTTAAGGGCTCCGTTGTTGAGGCTTTGTGGTTGCTTGTGGCTCCAAACGAAATCGAAATCGAAATCGAGTGACCTTCGGATCTCGAGCGACAGTTGCAGTTAATCGATTTTCCAGACGACAGCTGCCGTCCAATGGGGGCGGGAAAACTGTGTCACGAAAGGAGCTGCCTTAAAGCTCGATTTTTCTTTAGAATCCTTGAATCTCTCCGCCTTGAGGCTGTGTCCTTTTGCTGCGCTTTCGTTTTCACTCAAGTGTCTGTGTAAACTGAAGGAAGTGCTTAGTCCTGCTCTTGCTCCTGTTTCTGGTTTTTAGTTCCTGACGTTGACCCGTTCACTCCAAGCTTGCCACTGCGAATGTGCGGCTCTCCGGCTGTCCCTGGCGCTTTTATCCTGGCCGGACATTCTCTCTCGCAGGAGTCGCAGGAGTTGAGAGTTGAGGTGCCATAATAACCTCGCTCTCTCTCACTATATCTTATTATGGCAGGAAAAGCCGGCAAAAGGGAAATGAAAACGAAATGGAAACTGAAACCGAAATGAACGAGTGACAGCACGCATTGCCGCGGAGCTGATTGACGCTTCGTAATTATCATAAAGCGGAAAATTCCGCTCAGCGAACACGCAAAAATTTGATTAGGCAACAAAATTGAGAGAAATTAAATCAAGTTTTATAGGTTGATTACTTAATTTTAAATAGAAATCTAAGTTATTATTGTTATATTTCGTATTTCAATAATTTATAGAAGATATTTTCATAAATCTTACAAAGAAAACGAAATTATATAGAGCTTATATTGTTTTTTTTTTTTAATAGATTTCCCCTCTTTATACAAAAGGTATATTGCCTTGTAATACATTTGTATATATTTAAAAATAGATTTCATTATAATACCATTATTCTTTAGAATATTTTATTAGATAGATAGATTCTAAATTCTTTATCGATTCTACAGAAATCATTTTGAAGCTTTGTAACCAATTCACACAATTGGAAAATTTTTACAAATTTTAGTTCTCATAAATTTAATCCCTAAGTAACCCAAAACTTATATTTCCAGGAATATTTTGCCTGGTTCTTAATATAATTTTTTTCTGGAGCATTCCACTTTCTAAAGAATATTTTGAGTCAAAACATTTAGAAAACATTTATAAAAACTTTAAATATAAATATAAAATATGTCAATTGAGTGGGTATTTTTCCTTTTCAAAAGCACAATCTTAAAATATTATTTTACAAACTCAAAGTTACTTTATTTTCCCAAAGTAAATACTCAATTTCTCTATTCTCTGTATAATTTTCTCGTTGTGCAGCACAACTTCCTCGACCCTGTCCAGGTAATTTGATTTAATAGCGTCGCTAATCGATTTAAGTGACTTGGCAATTGCCGTTGGCTAGATGTCCTTGAGGATGGGCATTGGGCTAGGGATAAGGAAGACAGGACTCGAAAGATAGCGAAAGGGGTTGGTCTATTATCGATCCGCCAAGACCAAGAGAACGCGCCTTGTTGGCTGTCATTCATAAATCATGCAAGAAGAGGGGATACCTCACCACTCCCCCAGTCCTGTCCCATTCCCATCGAAAACTGCACCCAAGTGAAGGTGGGCAGTGGGCCAAATCAATAGGGCAAAACTATATTTAAACCTTTTGGGCCACACACACTAAACACAACCGAAGAATACAAAACAAACGTTCTGCGTCTTGCCGGATCCGGCTGAATTCGGTTGTCAAATCGGCATTCGAATGTGCATTTCCCGTGCGCAGAAACCGAAAAGATCCTCGCCAATCCAAATCCCATCCGATCCCCCCAATCTCTCTCTTTTTCTGTTCAGATAATTAAGATAATTGCAGCGACGAGTTGCCGCTGTCCACTTTGATTTTCTATCTCAGCCAGACACCAGGGAAATTTATGAGCATCGAACTTGAACTTGACATTGGCCGGGTTTTGCTCTCAGAGGATTTATTTTCTATAATAACAAATATCGATGGCTTTTGTGGGCTGTCACTTGGTCTATTTATTTCCTTTTTTCGCAGTTTTATTTTTTGATTCTCTGACACCTTAATTGCCACCAAACACGAGTGATTCAAAGGTCACCCTGGACTCTGTCTTATTTAGTGTTAAAAGTTGTGAAAAGTTATGGTAGAAAATAACAAGCTTATATTTTAGGATACCTAAATATAAATATATATTTGCATATTTGTTGTACGACAGAAATGTATTTTTAGACTCTGCTCACTTTTAGGCATTTTGTAAAGATATTTCCTGAGAACCATTTGTCATTTTGTGATTGTATTTTTAAAGAAAATATGATTTATTTGTATTGTTAGGTATTTAAAGTGCAGTAAAATGTATATTTAAATAATTAAGTTAGCTAATTAAACCCGAATTTATTAATTGTATAATATAATAATTCATTTCTCTATATATTTATTTTAAAACGCAACTTTTAAAATGTGAATTAATGCACATTCTGAAAGTAAAAAGGCAAAAACCTCTGATTAACACCTCAAAAACCTTATTGAAAGCTAAATTCCCCCATAAATTTCAACAATAACATCTCAATTAATGTGGAAAAGTACTTGATTAATTCTCTTGGCCTCTTTCTGCGTGCTGCTTGAACACATAATTCGTTGTTAATGATTATTTAATAACTATATTTAGGTTGCCGCCGCCGTCGCCTTTTCATTATTTGTTGTTTGGATGAGCTCACCTCGAACGATTAACCACAGATTACCCAGGATGGAGCTGGTTTGAAGGCACTTTTCACCCGCGACAATTACTGTTTTTCTCTCGTATATATATATATATTTTTATATATTTCTATCCTTCACTTGCTGCGCACTTAATTTCCTTGGCGTACAACACTGCGTATGCTTAACGTTTTGCCAATGCAGTCAATTGGAATAATTTCCGCAGCAATTTCTGCTGCCGTTGCATCAACAGTTTCAGAATGCGTTGCACCGCTGTAGCCGTTGTAGTGGATTGTGGATTTCTACCTACAAATACCGAAAGGTGGTGGAAATGGTTTTTAAGAGGGTTTTCCAGGGGGTTTTCCCAGGGGTTTCCCTAAGAGAATCTTCTGTGGGTTGATTGTGTTTTGCTTTTCTATGCTTTGGTCTGGTTTTGGGTTGATGGCTTTTTAAGACAGTCTCACTTCAAGGTTTGTTTACTAGAAAAGACCACAACAATGTGGGGTAAAGCAGTGACAAGAGGAAATATGGATAAAATATGTCTCTAACCTCTGGGAATTTCTATAAACATGCTCTTATGCAACAAAATATAATCCAAACTGGATTGAAAACATGAACAAAAAGTCACAAAACTATAGTTTAATATGTATAACATTGTAACATTCTATTTTATAAGGTAAAAGCCTGGCAAATTGAATTAAATCCAACTATATATAAGGGTTACCATGCAAATGGTAAACAAGAAGGGCTTAAGTTGTTCTTCGGTTGTTTGCTGTGAGACCTTTAGACCTTTTCTAACCACCAGTTACATGAATTGTTATGATGAAGGGCTTTTTGCAAAACGGAAAACAGGAAGAAAATCTACATAAACTGGTAGACAAAATAACAAACTATTTATAACCATTAAATAATCAGAAATTATTATCAAAGAGCTAAGGAATTAAGTAAGACAGCTAATACGATGTAATTTATTAATGTCTGATCCAGAAGGACGGAATCTCCTAAATATTTAAATGTTTTATAGGTATCTAATTATTTCTCTTGATTGTTAATGAAGTTTAGAAGCAGAAAATGTATCTCCTGAATCACCTCAAAACACTCAACGCTCCACACTCAAAACCCTTTCGACACGAAATCGAGAAACCGAACCGAGAACTGTGACCGGAATGCCAGGCGATCGACGGACGCTGCTTGTTTTAAAGCGCCTAAAACCGACTGAGAATCTAGGGAAGATCCGCACAAAGATCCAAAGACGTTCCTCCTGGCTCGACAATTGCACGGAAAGTGAGCAATGAATTTAATTTAAGCAGCAACAGCGACCGGGGCACATTTCTTTGGCTTTGTTTCTGCCGCATTTCGTTTTCACTTTGTCGCAAGGGTTCTCTAGGTTCTCTGGGTTGTCTGGGTTTCTCTAGTTCCCTGGGTTCTTTAGGTTCTCTGGGTTCCCTGGGTTCTCCTATTCTCTAGGTGCTAATGCGACAGTGAACGAGCGAACCAAGTGACGCAAACGATAGTGAAAATGCGTCAAAAAGAAAAGAGCCTCCGTCTGTCGGTATGTCTGATTGTGTCTGCAAATAAGCCTATATATTAACCCAAAAGACCTCGCCTCTCGACCCCCTTTGTCGTTCTCTAAGACAGAGCATAGCCCAAAAACAAACGACAATTGTTTAATGCACTTTGACACACTTTAAATCTCTGGGAGAATTGCCTTAAACAGACACGAATGCCAAAATATGAGAATTAATGCAATGATTTCAAGGGGAGACGAATTTGAGATACTGTATATTAAATATAGGAAATGTGAGAGATTTAATATTCATATATAAATATATATTTATTAAAAATTTGTATAGATATTTCTTTTAAATTTTATATCATTGTTTGGTTGCTATTGAAAGTTGTTAATGCTAAATATCAAATAGTTATCAATTCTTCTTCTACTGTAAAAAGTAACTTGGAATTTTAAGGGAAAGGTTACAATATACTATATTGATTATATTTTTAATGACAGATTACTAGATTATATTGAATATAAGATAATTCAGGGAATTTGGGAATAAATCAGTCTAAAAATACTTGATTATTGTATAATAATTGGAGAATAATGATAGAGTTTCCATAGATGTTTAATACCGATTAGTGTTGGTAGTGAATTATTTATTTACAAGTTACTAATAGAATATATATTATGAATTTAAATTTATATAACATTTTTCACAAGTACTATATTTTGTGATCAGTGATCCCTAATCAAACTGAGTTAACTGATACCGCATGTTATTTTTTTTATCATCTCTCGCCTGGCGCTCAATTCAAGCAAATGATTGTTCTGTTTTTTTATGCCCTCAACTTGCGTGATGTTCTTGTTGTTGTTGTTGGCTGCTAATATTACAAACTTAAGTGGAAAATTGCAATACCCGAAGGGTGCGAGACAGAAACCAGCGACAAGCTGAGAAAATTACGCATACGCCTCGTGGCGCTGCCAGCAGCAAACATAAGACAGAGATGAAAGACTTTTGCATATTTTCCGATTTGTCATTTTAATTAGAGCGTGCTGCAGGTGCACTTATACGGGGCATATTTTACATATTTGCTGAAAATGTTGTAAAATTTTAAAATTATCCCATTTCTCATTGACTTCCTCAAATTATAGG